GATCACCATATTGTGACAGTATAATATGAAACACACTGATCCTGGTCCTGCTGAAGGTTTCTCCTTGCTAAAACCAAGTGGTTGCTCTCCACTGTCGCCGCATGCTTAAGACGAGTGATTACTGCAGTCAATGACTCAAAGTAATTAGTTGCTCTTTCGTAGACAGGTAACATTTTACTGGACGCCAATAAATGATCAAATGACTCTGGGAGCTTTGTATGCTCTAAAAAAACCTCCCAAACAGGCCAAATCATGAGTTCATGCGCTGGAATCTGAACAACTGTACATAAACTCTACGCAGTTAAAAACGATGCATTCTGCCACGTCACAGAGATGTGCTAATTATAACGTACAGAAACCAATTGTAGCATTTGGGTTTGTGTATTTTTAGAGCGATATCGGCTGCTGGCTCCGTTCAGCTCTTATCCAGAGCGAGCCGCTTCAGTGTTTAGCCTTGGCGCGATCAGACGGTTTGTTCCCACCCGGAAGTTTCCAGGTCCGGCGCCGAGTGCCTGCTGTTGTCCGTCAGTTCCACTGGAGAGGCTCGCCGTTAATCGATTAAAGACGCAGCGATGACAACATCTGGAGAGGGATCATCGGAGTTCTTGGGATTATAAACCTGATTTTGGAGCTTTTAACTTCAGCTTGCCCTCATTGTTGGTGTGTAATGAAGCTTAAGCCCCCCTGAGACCCATCAACCGCTGACCTGAACACAGGTCAACGACCAGAGAAAGGGAAACTGAAACGCGAGACAGCAAGAGTGGGCTCTCTCTCTCTGTGTGTGTGAGGGCAATAAAAAAAGGATATTCCATCACAAAGAGTTGAGATGGAACTCTTATTTGAAGAGTGTGTGTGTGTGTGTGTGTGTATGCATGTGTGTTTACGGAGCATGTTATTATCTCCTGACTGAACCTGCAGCGGCGTGTGCGTCAGGATGACAGATAGCATCATTACAAGGCACTGCGTGTCCTCAAACCGTCTCCCTTTGGCAAACAGCAGCACACCTTCCCGCGCCGCGTGAACCAGGAAACACTTTCTGCTCTAACAGAAGGCGCTTCAGTCAGCCATGTCGTCATTGTGAGGACAGAGAGAAATGCTGCAGAGAAAGTTACAGAAAATATCTTTGGACTTGTTCTTCTGCTTTGTTCTGCTTCCTTAGAGTGAGTCTCAAAACATACATGTTTATTTACTTATTTTTAGAGCTTCATTTTGTGTTTTTCCTTTAAGACAGTGAAATTAGCAGCAGCAGCAATAAAACCTTTGCCTCCAGGCATAAAAATTGACAACAGTAGCCAGTAAGCAGTGGTTAGGGTTACGGTTATGATCACTATTATTGCTCCTTGTCATTTCCAGTAGTTATATAAAAAACTTTGCTTGCACAGCACTAGAGCAGCCAAAGGCATGTTGGACATCTGCAAGTTTTACCTTCAGCTTCTATGTGCCACAAATCTGGATCAAGCATCCAGAAAACTGCAAAGCTGTTTTAAGTCAAGACTGAAAGGCACCTGAACCATAACAACAGGAACATTCACCAACATGTTTGCTGTGTAACAATGATTTTAATGATTGCACTTGACAAAATGTAATGTTTAAATGAACCGTAGAAATGCACAAATTGAAATGTGGAAAATACATTTGCTGAGTGTAAACACGCCAATTTTGAAAAGACTGACATTTTTCGATAGAAACTTTTTTTTTGCTAAGATAAAGTGTTTTTTTGTGGCCTTATTGAAATGGGTGTATTTTATAAAACTGCAATGGAAACTTCTGTGTTCACATCACACAAGTCACGCAATCAACGACCGGATGTCACTACTGGCGGAAACGACAAAGAAGACGTCAGGAAGTGGTCAGAAGATGATGGTGTATATTTGCTGATTAATGATTGAATTATGAACATATCTCATGTAACTACCATTTGTTTTAATGACAAACGGACGTATTCATGTGTGATTTCAATTTAATTTCTTATTTAATGGAAACACTGCAACTATAATATTATGTTTTTCAACTTCAGAAGAACATAGACAAAGATTTGTGTTTATTTTTAATGGAAACACTTGTGTGATGTAATGATGTTTTTATATTTTTTAGCACTGAACTGCGTTGTTGCGGAGAAGCAATATAGAAATAAACTTGATTGATTGATTAAGGTTTATATTCCTTTGTTGTCAGAAAACAAACGAAAACACAAAGAAGACAAAACTATCAGAGTGACATTTTTGCATGACCCTCACATGAACAGATGTGTTCATGTGAACTTCAAACCAAGTCTAGTTTTGTTTGGACTTATGAACCGGGTGAGGTTTTATATGCATTAAACACCTTTTCATTGCCTTCGTAATTGAGCACAGTCAACTCTGGAGGCTTGAAAAGCAGCGTGGTGAAAGTCATGTTGAATAATTTCAAACAGCTCCAGGCTGAGAGTGTAAAAAGCAGCTGTGCTGAGGCAGAGATGACGCTTCCCAGACACAAGGCTGCGCGTCTCAGTGCCGGGCCCGGTGGAGGTGAGCGGAGCCAGCGGCTCCATGAGGTTCTGCTACTGTGCGTGAGTCACGGGGTGACAGCTGGATCCTGCAGAATCAGACTGTGGAGTTTCCATTTCCTGTCCTCTCATGTGTGTCTGAAACTGTAGCCGTTTTCCTTTGTCAGGAATTGTTTCTCTTCTGAAACGCTTTCTCGAATGCAATTTTTTTTTTTTTTAAATGAGAATAACATTCATGTGTCTGAGGTAGTGAAATGTTTATTAGCTCCCATTTTCATTTTTTGAGTCAAATTGAGTTCGGATGTGGAAAAGACCCAACCAAGCCGAGTTCATGAACTGAAAGTCATCAGTCAAAGGTAAAAAAAAATGCATACATGCAGCTCCTGGGACGGAACAATTCAAGTTCAATAGAGCAAGACAAGGCTTCAGAAATGTTTTACTGAAAACTAAAAATCATTTCTTATCCCTTCAAAAATGAAGGTTTCACAAATCACCAGCTCTTTCACAGAATCTTCAGCTAGTCAGTCATTCCAGTCTTTCACGATTCCACACATGCGGGAAATCAACATGTCCCTGTCCTTTCTTTACTCAGAAGCATAATTGTGATTTTATTGCAAAAAAAAAAAAAAGCAAAAACATTATTTGTAGGTGGTAGTATTTTGAACTTCTACTTCACTGCTGCCTCAGCTTTACTTGGTGTCAAGTTAAAGTATGCGGTATTGTGAATAACAAAAATGTAGCAATTTAACATCTTTAAAGAATGTCTTTTATTTGCTTGGTATTTCCACATCAATTTTCCTTTTACTGTAAGTTTTCCAAGTGGTTTAATAAGAAAATAAAAAAGATATGTAAAAATTCTTTGCAAAAATTAACACTATGAAATTTGTGATCTTGACTTCAAAAGTTGTAGTTTTTGGCTTTCACACAAGTACAAATTTTATTTTATTTTTAATTTTACATTTTATGAATTTCAAACTGGGTTTTAAAGAATTTTGGTTCACTGTAGAAATATCCAGTTATGTTTTTATTAGTTTAAGAAAGTTATCAATCAATTAATCATTTTCTAAACTGGAACGTTTTCTTGACTCAGTTAACTCAAAAAAGTCACTGAATACTTTCAATCTAATAAACAAATAAAAGAAAAACAATCCTGATGTAACGTGTAACGCAACACATTGTGGAAATGTAGTGGAGTAAAAGTTGAAAGTATGGATGAATGATGAATTAACTATGTAAGTTAATTAAGAATATATAAAAAATGTACTTCAGTAACAAAGTACTTGTTCTTGGCTACATTCCACCGCTGAATATTAGAAACAATCGTTAAAATCGATTCCCACCGTCCAGCCCGCTTTGGAAATAAAACTCTCTTCATCATCTTGCAATCTCAGTCAGACAATATTAAAACCATGAAGAAGAAACATAAAGCGTGACTCTGTCTGTTTTATTGACGGCAATTCAAGATAAATGATAGTAAAATGCTTTTCACAGCAGCGTGCAGTTAAAGTGAATGATGCTCATATTTGATCAGACCTGTTGGATCGCTCTGCATCTGAAGACATTTTAAACCTGTGCAGGTGTGTGAAACTCAACAAGAGCACTCTACACACCAGAATCCAGTTTATTCTAAACTCATTATCTCATTAAAGAGCCTCGCATCTGACAATGATTGGTCAGAACTCATCCTTTTAAGTCGTTTATCGGGCAGCATAAGGAATGGAGTGACCAGCGGGATGTAAATGATCTGGAAGCGGTTTTCCTGCTAGGAGTTAATAAAGTTAAAGCTGCTCTCTGCTTAACTTTCCATCACTGCTATGCTACAGTTTACTTCACAGCTTTTAATGAGGCAAAACTTAATGTGATTATCACAAATCTAATCATATTTACTCATAAAGCACTTTTAAAAAGAGTGCTGTACGATAATGAAAGGAAAGAGAAGCGATTAGAAAAAAAACAGATCAAAGAACAACAAGCAGAAACACACAAAACATTTGAAATCTAAAAAGAAAACTTGAAAGGAAATGAGTTAAGTCTTAAAGGAGAAACGTCAGGGATTCATGAAACATTTATGAAATATGTAAAAATACAAAAAAATGTAGCTTTTTAAAAAAAATTATGAGCATCTTATGAGACAAGTATTGATAATCAAACATGGAGAATTCTAAACTTAAGGGGCTGAATGAAAAATCTGGTCAATGTGGCAAGTTTTTTGTTTTCCCGATTGCTTGATTTATCGTCAGAACAATCGACAGATTACTAAAATAATCATAATCAGCAGCAACTCCAATGTTGTGTAAGAGAAATGCTGGGATTAAACTGTATGCAGGAATTTATCAAATATGAGTTTGACTGATCTTGTTGAGTGCAAGAAAGGAAACGGGTGGAAATGTGTTTCCTTTCAGCTACATCGAAACAAAAAACTGTTTTTCACGGAGTGTTTCTTCGCTTTGTTCCAAGTGAGGATTTAAATGTGTCAAGATCACGGCCTGATGGAGAAGCTTCCTGTCACACTCACCACGTGGAAGACGGCGGTGTCCTGAGCCGTCCTGAGAACCATCTGGGGCTGGAGGCCGGACTGGAGGTAGGAGCCCTGAGCCGAGACGGTGCAGCCTCCGCTACGGCGAGGGGACGGAGAGCAGTGTTAGCATCAGACACAGGAGATTCCCGCCGGGAGGCAACTGCTGTTCGCGTTAGCAGCTCGTCACCTCCCACTCACTTCCTACTGCTGTAAAACTCCGGCATTAGTCTGCCTCATCCCACCCATCATCGCTCCTCTGTCAGGCGATGACACACGGACGAGCTTAGGTTCACATTCGTGGCAATTCTAGCGTGACGTGCGGAGACGCCGGGGACCAAAATGAGAACCGCGTTTGGACCCTCACCTCACGAAGGAGCGCAGTGGCTGGATGCTGCTTATGACCGGGTCCTCATTGTAGGTGAACGGCACGGGCGCCTGGCGCTCCACCGAATCCACCGTCAGCTTCACCGGCTGCTCAGACGGGACGGCGTGTGTGTGCGGTGGCGTCTTACAGATCAGCATGGAGAACGACAGGCTGAGGGCGGAACGGTGCAGAGGGTTACAGTTAGCTGTTAGTCCAGCAAAGGATTCTAAACACTTAAAGGGTCAGTGTTATGTTTTCCAGCTGCGAACAATCAATTAACTATGTCACCTTCAGGTGTTATAAAGATGCTGTATACATATCAAAAATGACATAAAAGAAATTTTACTGTTATAACACCTTGAAATTGGGCCTCTGTCTCTTTAACCCTCTATGGCATGACTTTTTGTTTTTTTGGGGAAAAAATATTTTCCTGCATTCTTTGGGAGCTTGT